TCAAATTTACAAAAAAGTTAGCATTGCTTTGTGTTCGACAAAGTGCCATTATCTTCAGTAGAGCTTCGTAGCTACATAATGACTCTAAATACAGGGCCATCAGCCCCCTGATAATAATTAGAAAAAGGAACTTAAAAAGCAAGGGCTTCAAATTTGGTCTGAGGCTGTCAGCCCCAGTATGAAGTGATTATTATGCAGTTGGAAAATCCTGCAGCTTAGATTCTAAACAATTTCTGGTAATCAGTATCTCAGAATAATTCACAGTTATCAGGGTTTTTCATTTATGAGAGAAAGGAACGATTCCTCATTTATCTTAAGACTTTTATGTTGGCAATTCCATCCTTAATTAAAAAGGCATTGGCATTTTCATTATGAAAATGGTTTTCCTGGATTTATAGCTGAGTCCATTAATTTAGTGTTTTAAAGCTGATTGGCATTAGCCTGTTAGTTACTTTTATACAAAAACGACTTAAATATCGATTTTGGAGTGTCTTGATTTTAAAGACTATTTCAGACATCTGTTCCCCCTGGTCTACTGGATCGACGTATTGAGTTCTGGAGGACTAGGGAATAAATACAGCATATTTAGCTTCCAAAAAAGAGGATGGCCATCATCACTTTCTGTTTAAGGCACTTGAGGAGAGCCTAAGGTGACATACTGTGGCTCTATACCCCACTCTTGTTCTCTCATTTTCTTCTGTATCTTTCAGGGTGGAAAAATAATTAGGATAATGGCAATTCTGTTTTCTCTTTCGCATTCATAACAGTCCTATGAAGATAGGCAGTATGATGCCCATTTTACACATTGGGAAGCTGAGACTCCCCAGCAGATCACCTGATTAACCCCTGACACCGCTTGATTGATTCCTGTCATTTCCCTGCCACCTCTTTGCATTCTGTACATCACTGCTGGTCCCGTCTGTGTTCTTTATAACATTCTCCTTCAGAAACACCTTCTAAGAGTCTATTATGCATAGGGCGAAAGCCCAGACTTCAACACATCTATGGGTTGATCCCGACTTTTTTAACCTTCTACCCCACAACCTCCTTACAAGAACCTGCACTATAAGCCTACATGAGGGTGAACGTACTGTGTGCTTCCCCACCTGTTTCTCCTGCCTCAGCACTGGCAAATGCCTCTTATTTACCAGGCACTGTGTGAGGATCTTAGCTACAACTCTTGCCTTTAAAACTTTAGGCTAGTAGCAAGATAGATGTGGACATAAATCACTTCTCCTTAACTTTTATGTATCTAATTCCAGATTGGTTTAGAGCTTTTGCCCTTGGTGAACATTTTCCTAACCATTCAAGGCAAAAGTTGGTTCCACCTGACTCTGAATGCAGCCTGAACTGACTGTACCAAATAATTTATCTTCAAGTTTTGATTGTATTTTCATGTGCCTGGGCCTTAACCCACTTCTAGGTTATAGACTCTTATAGGCACAGTCTGTGACTTTAATATATCTTTGATTTCTAAACTCTATTTTTAAAGGAAGGATTAATTTGTAAAAATATATAAAATGTCATGAAGAGATTTTAGCATTGGCTGGGGTGCGTCTGACTCTTGGTTTTGGCTCAGGTCATGATCTCAGGGTCATGAGATCAAGGCTCTGTGCTCAGCGGGGATTCTGCTAGAGATTCTTCCTCTCCCCCGCCCCCCGCTCTCTCTCTTTCTCTAAAATAAATAAATCTTTTAAAAAATTTAGTGTTGGACTACCATATTTTTAATATATTGCAATGTGGTCTGAGACCCCATATTTTAAAGTATAAAAAATTAGGTTGGCACACGAATATGGCATGTCGTTTGTTTTTCTGTATTTCTTTAAAACCCTGGCACCAAGTTTTTTTTTTTTTTAATTAATAATTTTACTGTGACACCTTCCTGTTCATTAGATATCAGCACAGGAAGAAAGCCTTTTGAACATCAGCCAGGCCTTTAAAAGACACTAATAAAACATCTCAGTTGCTAATCCTTCAAGTTATGGGACTTGTTAAAAATACCATAAAAGGTAAGTAGCATGAGCAGACTGAGTCTTGATTAAGGAGGTAGGAGACCCGTTCTACTCCTGGCTCAAGTCACTGAAGGGGGTGACTCTCATGTAGTCAGAAGCACAGTGAGCTCCAATTTCTTTGCCTGCCAAATGATGCGTCGTAGCAGACATGGTGGGTTTTTAACCCATCAAATACTTTTACAGGTGCCTCTCCCCCTATTGTGTTAGTAGAACTGCATCCATCTGTTTATTTATAAGTCAATAGGCCGGGTGGCTAAACAACAGAAATTTATGTTCTCACGGTTCTGGAGGCTGGAAGTCTGAGGTCGAGGTGTTGGCACATTTGGTTTCTTCTCTGGTCCTTCCAAGGACAGGAATCTGGTCCTTCCCCTGTTGTGCACACCTCTGTGTGTATGGGGGGGGTCTCTGCCCATTTTTCCTCTCAGAAGGACACCAGTCAGATTGGATTAGGGCCCACTCTCACTGCTGCATTTCAACCTCATCACCGCATCAAGGTTCATAGGGTCACGTTCTGTGTACTGGGAGTTAAGGCTTCAACGCGTGAATTTTGAGGAGACACAGTTGAGCACATTACATCTATTTAAAATAACCTTCATTTGTTTTATAGAGAGAGACTAGTATAAAGAGGAAACCAAAAATAGCCTTCCATCTAGTTCATGCCTATTGTTAAAGAGGGAGGGTAAGTACATGAAAAGATCATTCAAAACTGTATTCAAGGTTGTAAAAGGAAAATTAACACTCTCCTAGCCCCTTCCTTCCACACTCAGGCCACCTCTTTAGATACGTTTGCACAAATGTTTGCTATGCAGAGTCCAGGTACATTATTTTCGGGTCTTAATGTATCCTACAACATACAGATCTCTGTATCTGCACACCCTCTGTGTTGGCCTTTTAAATGACTACATAGTATTCTGTTGTCTCTGTTCTAGATGGAACTGGTGACCTATTCATGGGCATTTAGGTTGTTTCCAGGTACCCTCTCCACCTCCATTACCAACAATGGAGTGGGATTCCTTTTAAATATGCATTATGGAAGGAACAGTAATGAGCCACCAAATAAAAACAACTGGCCTTGGATTTTGGTGAAGACAGCCTTTGTTTTTCACTTTCCTGTTGATTGGTCCTCACTAGTTGCTGTGAAAGGCATTTCAGTCTTTCATACCCTCCAGCCCCCGACCATATGCCAGTACCTCCTCCCCGCATAATGTGGAAGGAGCGGCTTCCCTCGGCATCCTCAGGTCCCCTTGCACAGCTGTCCTTTCTCCTCAGGAAGAAAGGTCTAGCTGAATCATGAACAGGCAGAAACTATTTTTAGTGAAGTAAAACAGTTTTTCTTGTAAGAATTGCTGTTTCTGTGCCCACAACGGCCCATGAATCCTTTCTGGCTGCTTCCACCCTTTGGAGAGGGGCCAGGTTCCTAATGGAATGTAAGCAGTCTTACTGCTAATCAAGATTTACAGCTGAGGCCAGGATAGTCGGCCGCTGGTGGATTTGCAGACCCTTTAAGCTAGCGGCGGCAGCAGCTCTGAAATTAAGTGCAGTGCCGAGGCCCCAGTCCTGTTCTCCAGACCCGCCCTCCTTCCTCAGGCCCAGCCTCCTAACCACAGGTATCATCTGGCATTATTTTATAAGCTGTGCCACGGTGCAGATGTTCTTTGCTAAGGAATTACTTTCATTTCTGACTCATTTCAGGAAATGAGGCAGTCTATCAGAGGTGTTCTTCATTTTCAGACCCATGGAGAATTCATTTTCTCCTGGGATTTCTAGCCACATGTGGGCAGTGCTTTATTTACCCAGATGTGAGAAAGAACAGTAATGAACAGCCCTTTTCCAAAGCAGCTCTTCCTTTCCTGCAGAACCCAGTGTGAAGACCCAGAGGAACTTATGCTCTTATTAATGTAAATATTTCTGAGGTTTGGGTTTTGTGATGCTTGTGGACATGCTGTGTGTATGGGCTTTGGTGCAGGAAAAATATAATTTAGCAACAGATTTAAAAGGTAGTCTGGAGTGTTTCTAATTACTGTTTGTTTAGCTCACCATTGCCTTAATAAGTGGATTTAAGTAACCTTGGGGGTAGGGAATGTAATGTTCATATTATAGTCAGCCATGCAAATCAAATCCTAACTAAGTATTGCAGAGAACACACCATGGAGTCATTTTATATGTATTCCATTGAATTTTAAATTTAGAACAGAGACCATTTTGGAATAGGCATCTTTCTACCTGTCCTGCATCAGCATGAATTATGCACATGTCCAAAATCAACCCTACTGTGTGCTACAACCCCATTTAAAATCCATCACTGGCTTTGACATGCAGTTCTCCTTTTAATTGAACACAAAAGAGAGGGAGGAACTTAAAAGCTTCTCTTCCTTTCCCTTTGCCACCCTTCAGTGGCTGTCATAGGAAATGGAAGTATTAAGAGGGCCTAGAACAGTGGTTCTCAACATTGGCTGCACCTTGGAATCAGCCTGGGAACTTTGAAAGATAGGGATGCCTGGGTCCTACCCCCAGAGATTCTGGTTTCATTGTTGCGAATGCAGCCTGCCTTGGGATTTTTATAAGCTCCCCAGAGGGTGTTATTGAGCACTAGGGGTTTTGAACCACAGACCTGAGAGACCTCTCATCCATTGGTTCCCCACCCTGACTGCACACCTGCATCACCTGGAAAGCTGTTGAAAGAAACACAGGTGTCCCACCAGTTGAAACCACATTTCTGGAGGAGGGAGCCAGTATTTTTAGAAAGCTCCCAGAGGATCCTGATGCACAGCAAGGGTTAGGGTAACCTGACATAATCTAACCATCCCATATCACAGATGAGAAAAAATGAAAACTCAGAAGGGCAAGTGGCTTGCTCAAGGTCAGATCCCAGTTGTTGCAGGAGCAGGTCTGGGACTCCGGTCTGACCTTCCGACTGGTCTCTCTGCTGCGTGATGCTACCCCTTTATATTTGTCTGTTGTATTTATTGATGCTTCCTCATTCTTCAGGTGATGTTGCTGCCTCCAAGAGGCCTTTTCTGACTCCTCACCCATCCAGGCTGGGTAAGATGCCCTTCCTCTCTATTTAAATAGCACCCCTAACTTTCCTCTCAGACTGTCATTTCCAGGAGCACAGGACCCTTACCCTCCTTGTCGTTTCTGCAACTTGCTGGCATCTTGTAGGGTTCCGGATCGTTTGTTGAGTTGAAGTACCCTGATTTTTTTATTCCTCCATTAGTCCACATGGATTGCTAAAAATAATGCATTTATTTCCATATGTTAGCTTCCGAAAATAGCTTCTGAAAGCAGAAGTTATTTATGTTTCTAGGGTCCCCTGTATTGTGGGTAAGATCTCATACACTGAGACTTTCCACCCCTATCTTCCAGAACAGAGGTTTTCAGGGGGTGGGGGGGAAGAAATTACAGGGGGCTTCTGATGTAAATGAAAACAAAATTTCAGTGACCTCCCAAGTTGCTCAAGGTACTTAGAGCATCCAGGGACTTTTGAATCCTTACAGGTATGTACGGTGGAAGTGGAGGGGAGCATGTGGCCTTTACCTAAAGAGAGAAAGTTTTATCAAGAAAATAATGCTATTTCATGGAAGTATGTTCTAAGGACTAAATTCTCTCTATTGGATACATAACTCCGAGAAGCCACATTCTTTTACCAGAGCTGAATTAAATCCTTTGGCCTCTCTGGATTCATGTGTTAAATTCTCTTCAATTCATATTGATTGATTCAACTCAATTCAATTGATTAAAAAAAAACAAACCCACAGGGCGCCTGGGTGGCTCAGTCGTTAAGCGTCTGCCTTCGGCTCAGGTCATGATCTCAGGGTCTTGGGATCGATCGGGCTCCGTGCTCCGCGGGAAGCCTGCTTCTCCTTCTCCCACTCCCCCTGCTTGTGTTCCCTCTCTCGCTATGTCTCTCTTTGTCAAATAAATAAAATCTTCAAACAAAAAACAAAAACCCCACAACTGTCAGTCTTCTGTCATCCTATTTGACTTAAGGTTCATTCTTGGTCAGTACCTTATTTTTATTTGAAAAATATTTCCAGGTTTGCAGTATTTGTGTTGACTCTTAGGGCTGTACCAGAGATTTGTCTTAGAAAGCAGGTTGCACCCGGCATCTCTTAAGCTGCCATGGCCAGGCATCTCTTAAGCAACAAGATGACACAGGGGTCACAGAAAGTAGCTGTTTTCTTGTGGGGAGAATTCAAAGCTTTTGGAGCCAAGACTGTAAACTGGGCTGAGAGCTGTAGGGTGAATGTGAAGATGATGTTGAGATGTGGCAGCCAGGAGAGAAGAATGACCAGAGTGTGTGGACTCACGCTGTGGTCTTAAACGTCATAGTTTCCTGCTTTATCATCAGGAAAGGGGCAGTGTGGTGGTGTGTAAATGAGGCCACCGTATATTCGGGGGGAATCTTCCTTAAATAGTCTGAGAAATTTCAGGAGAAAGTGGGAGGTAAATGTAAAACATTTTAATATTAAAATAATTTTGATTATACTGTGGAACATAAAGTGCAGTGTTTGCCTGATTTCCTTTTTAAGATGAAATATGAAATTTTAAAGAAGCACCTGTGTCCAGTCTCTCCTTTGCTGCTATTTGGGTGAAAAATGAACAGATAGATAAAACTTTTTGCTAAGTAACCAGCCTCTATCATACCAATTTCAGAGGCTCAGCAGTACATTGTGGGAGAGGAGAGTTTATTAAATACATAAGGCACAGTGTTCAGTGTTTCAACCACGTTGTGCCATCAAAATCGTCACGACCACCCTGCAAATTCGGACTTATTCACACCAGTGTTCACGCGTGAGGAAGTATGTGTATGCACCTATCCGCCAGGGAGCAGAGTCAAAATTTAAATCCAGGTCTGTCTGATTCCAGAGTCCTTATAATTTTCTAACCAACATGGCCTCTTAAGTCATTAGAGTGGAGAAGTCTCCAGAAGAGAGTTTTACCATCCTGGTAGAAGCCAGCTGACTTCAGCTTTCCTTACAGTTGCTATTTAACATTCGTAAGTTAATATTTATAAGCTTCTGTGACACAGTTAAAAGCATTTCTTCATAAAGTCCTATAAAGTTCTGACTTTAAAATGGCATGTCATTGTTGCAGTGATACTCCGAGACTTCCAGCGTGTTCATTGTCATGATTGAAAGAGGGGAAAGGAATAGTCAGTGATGGCCATTTTTGGTCCAAACACAGCATCGGGTAGAATTTGATAATCTGTCTCTCAGCCATCACACATTTGACTTGAGGGAGGCAGCAAAACAAAATGGTGGATGATGTGCGCTTTGCGATGTGATTCCTGGGTTTGAGAAGCCGGGCCCTGTTGCCTGCTAGCTGTGTGATCTTGGGAATGTCACCTAACCCCTTTGTGCCTTAGTTTCCTCATCAGTAAGGCAGGGGCATTCATAACTTGATTAAACTTGCTGTTTTAAAAATTAATATAAGGCATATAAAGAACTTGGAATATTGTGTGATACAAAGTAAGTGCTCGGTACATGTTTAGCTGTTCTTAGTGGATGAAAACTAGATGCTACATGACCCAGCAATTCCACTCCTAGGAGAGATGAAAACCCTTGAGAAATGAAAACCCGTGTCCACAAAAGACCTTCTAGCAAAAGTTTATGGAAGTTTTATTCATAATAACTAAAACCTAGAAACAACCCAAATGTCCATCAACTGGCAAATGGGTAAACTGTGGTACACCCACACAATGGAACAGTGTTGAGTAGCAAAAAGGAACCGATTACTGATACAGACATCAACATGGATGAATTTCAGAAGCATTATGCCGAGTGAAAGAAGCCAGATATAAAAGGCTCCATGCGATTTGATTCCATGTACATGACATTCTGAAAAGGCAAAACTGTAGAGAGAAATCGGCTCATTGCTTGCCAAGGACCAAAAGCGAGCGAAGGAAATTGACTGTGAAGGGGCGAGAGGAAGCTACATGACTGTATACATCAGTCAAAATGCACCAGACTTGGGGGAAATTTTTACTGTATATAAATTAAACCTCCGTAAACCTGATTTAAAAAAAAAAAAGTCTGGTGCCACAACATAGCAAATAGGGAGAGAAAAGGGGGTTAGGAACAGTAATCAGAAGTAGCAGAAACTGCAGATATTCTGCACTTTCAGTGGCTCTCTAAGATGGGTGGAATGATTTCATTAATTTTCCTCTCCCAGGCTGTGAGTTAGAAAAATGGAGGAACCTGTGGAATAGTTCTGTCCTGCCCAAGCGTATCTGATTCTCTGCCATGAGCACTGGTCTGCTGCCCCATTTCTTTTAAGCCAACCCATGAGAGCTGCCTTTATTTCCCAGGCACGGGGATCTCCTGGGTCGCTTCCTGGGAGAATCCCAAAGGAGGGCGGGCCAGCTGTGTGAGGAGGCATTTATGGAAACAGAGCGTTGGTGTTCTAGATGAACTGAGGCTTACTCTTCCAGATTACTCAGTCATCTGAGTGCATTTATGGGTAGGGAATGTTATCTCAGAACATTGTTCATTCATCCTGAGTCATGGGGGCCCTGGCCCTTTATCATGGAGCTCTTGCTTATCTTAGCAGCACTGGGCACAGCTGACCACTCCCTCCTTCCTGAAATTCTTTCTTTACTTGGTTTGTATGACGCTGCTCCATTTTGATTCCGCTTGCAACTCACTGGTTTTTCCTGTCTCCCCTGCCGGATCCTTCTCTTCCTAGTCCTGGCCTCTAACATTGGAGTGCCGATGGCTTTATTCTCTGACTGCTTCGTATCTCAGCTCACTACTTAGGTGAGACTCATTTCCAGAGCCTTAAATACCATCTATATGGTGATGACTTCCATATACATGGCCCCAGGCCCTATCTCTCCCTGGCTTTTCAGCTGCCTGCTTTACTGCCTCCCTTGGTTGTCTACTAGACATTGCAAACATGGCATGTGCAAAACCAACTTCTCATTTGTTTTCTAAACCTCCATTTCTTCCATTGTTCCTCATCTCGGCAGTGACTCAATCCAGTTGCTCAGGCCCCCAACCCCGAAGTCTTTGGATGCCTGCCTTTCTTTCGCCCCTCATATTGGACCCATTAGCATCTATCCCAAATCCAAGCACTCCTCATCTCCCACCCCACACCTGAGTCCGAGTCCAGGCCACCACACACCACATCTTGCTGGGACTTTGGAATCACTTCCTCAGACCTCTTCCTGCCTCTTCTCGTTACCTTGTGATCTGAGTTCACACAACAGCCATGGAAATTCTTCTCTTTTATACTTTGATGCTACTTGCAGTGGCTTCTCTACAAACAATATAAAGTCCTGACTCTTAGCCATGTACCATAAGGCCCCTGACACCTCCCTGTCCCCGTCTCTTGCTCTGCCCGTCTCTCAAGGTGCTCCAGCCACACCGGCCCCTCACTGTCCCTTGACGTGTCACCCTCCAGCCTGGAATGCTGCTCTCATCCCCCTCTCCATCTGCTCTCCCCTCCCAACCCCTTTCTGTCTAGGATTCTTGTCTTGCATTTCATTCACTTCTCCCTCAGATGCCACCCTTTGGAGCTGGCTGGCCTCCCTGACTCACCTATCCAAAATATCACTGTCACTCTCAGTTCCCTTCACCTGCTTTAGCTGACTTCAAAGCATTTATCGCTACCTGAAATTAAGTCTGTGTTTGTTTATTGCCTCTGTCCCCCAGTAGGTCCTAAGCTGCATAAGAACACCGTTCTGGTGCTCAATAAGCGTTTTTTGAACGACTGAAGGAATAAGTGAATTGATGCTCAGGTACCCTTATATTAAAAATTAAAGAACCAAACACCTTCCTAAACCCTAATACCCCTCTCCATCTCTCACCCCATTTCTTGGTCCTTTAAGGTGGAATTTCTAAAATGTTGTCTAGATGTACTGCAGTTCTTCACTACCCATTTCTTCTTTCCTCTGCTACAATCTGCTGTCCTTTCCCATCACTCTTGTGAAATTTCTCAGGGTCATTCAAGCTCTATGTGTTGCTGCTTCTAATAGATACATTCCTATCCTGTCTTATTAGATCTTGCGTTTAGTTTTATCATGGAACATAAGTTCCCTG